CATGGTCACCGCTTAACTAGGAGGGCATTGCTTATTCTGCCAGGTGTAGAGTGGCGCAAGGCTTGACGTGGACAGAAGTTGACGGCAGCGGGAAATGTAGTCACTGACGACCAAACTGGGTGTCGTTGGTCCGTCTCACCTTCCGGGCTGGAGTCCACCTCACTCGCCCTGTGCTTGTCTCGAGACTTTACAGGACATGGCTCGCAACCCACATCAGTGGCGCGTCTGCTGCCGTCTCCTAGTCGGATCGGCTTTTTAGATTGTGTTTGGTGCTGAGTTATCTGCGATGTAATGGCTGATTATGACGCGGGGCAGCGAAAGCCACAAGGAAGCTGTCTCGCTGATGCCGCCTTATCTTTGCACGATAACCAGCTGTTAATGACGGCAAGGTGTAGGCGTCTTGACCATGTCAGTTGCTTATGGCATTAAAGTTGTCAGGTAAGTCCCCTTACTCTCCATTTTATTATTATTCGTTATTCCATCATCACGGTTGCGTGGCGGCGAAGCATCAGTCCGAATGGTTAATGTACTGCTGTTATTAATGATGATGTATTTTGTCCTGTATGGTCTTCGATTTACTGAAACCAATTTAATAACGGTAATGACTGAAATTATTTTTACTAACCCGGATCAAATACCCAACGATTTTGTTTGCAGGCGATTATCAATACTGTTGACAACGTTAGGTTCATAATTTTACTGCTGTTCTAACCAATGCCATAAGTGCACGATTAATCGAAGTGCTAAAAGATTGGCAGGGCTGATTTGAATACTGAAAAGCCAATTAATTGATCAAAAGGAACAGATCTCTTACTGGTGTCTAATGAGCAGGCTTAATGAGCTGTCATTATCGAGTCCATATCTTTGTTTCAAAGTCGAATATGAGATGCGGCTAATGACGTCGAATAAATCGGCGGGGCAAGATAGACATAATTCATCCCTCTGCCGATGCTACGAACTTGTACTTGTGAGATGTTTGCACGATTTATCAGGGAAATAAATGGGGCACACATTCGAAATGGTGTATTGTTAAATCAGTTTTATCTCCACGGTCTTTAACTTGCCTGCATGTCATTCTTCACAGACCGACTGGTGCCCGTAAAAGCCGTATTCACAAACAGCAAGCTAGTTTTTGTCTTACTCTTGGCTGTATTTGCAACATAATCTCCTAATGTCTATTGTTGGAGCACCGTCAATTATATTGGTTACCAGACATATTCTTGTTTCTCGACATTAAATGTTACCTGGATTCGCAGGACCTGTGTGGTTGCTATTGATATCTGGTTCCGAAAGATGCTTAAGAAACATATGAGTATTATATAAGGTCGCTCCTTGTACACAGTTTGGTCAGTGTTTTCCTTTGCAGGCTGTCTCTACCGCTCAGGGATGAGTGTTATACCCCTTTTAAATTCTTTATTAGCGAGTTTATGTAAAGGAGTTAATGGTACGTAACACAAACCTGCCAAAGCAAAGTTTACAGACGACCGCCAGAGTTCATATATGTTTGCCGTCGATTTGGATTATCCTATTGCAAAGCTATACTCTATGGTTGATGTGGATAGCTTGCTGCGACGACTGTTGACATGATAAGCTAAATGTCTTTCAGCACTATAATTACATTGACAGTTGCATCAGCGCATGTACTTCAGAAAATGAGATTTCGAATCGCATAGCAGAAGCTTGAGGCTCTTTTACCAATCTTTGCAACAGCGATTTCTCTTTGCAGAGTACAGCCTGGAGTGTAGCCGTCCGTACGAATCTACCCTACAGTTATAACACTTGACCCGTTAGATTATTAAACGTAAATGGGCTTTGGAAGGTTTGCAGACCAGTGTATTCGCATCTTAGATGTTATATGGCGGGAATACCGTCAGAGCATGTTCGGTATTAGGTTAAGGTGGCCGAAGGAATAACGGATTCGCTCAACACCAGTATTTGATGCATCATGCTCCAGTAGCTGAGGTATGTGTTGAGAATACTTACACACAAACTCACTTTATTTACATTACCCGGATATAGATTGTAGTAGAGGAGGGGTGGCCAACCGAAGAGTTTGTAGAGAAGCATAAAGGTTCCCAACAATACTTTGGCCTCGGTTTGTGTATCATGACTTCATTGCTGGGGTTATGAATACAGGGAACAGATTTTGTAAGATACACTTGTCGGCATGCCAGAAGTCGACTTCAGTGACATCTGCACTGTGAGCCTTTGTTACTAATCTCTCCGTCAGCCTCTTGGTGTGACCACGATGTCTTTGTTAATGCATTTGCAATGCAAAGAATAATAGTACTTTCATTTTAATCTGTTTTTACCGTATTTATCCATTCTTTTTATAACCATAAAGTAATTACCTCAGGTACTTCTCAGTCGCAGCTAGTATGGTTATAACCAATAGACATCCGTGAAAAATCCAAACTAATTCACCTGATTTGAAGAAGATATTATTTCAAGGGCGAAACGCTGTCATAATACAAGTCTAGAAAAAAACCGATTTGTATTCCAAAAATTTAGAAATTATCCTACTGTGCTGTTGCTACGACTTCTTTGAAGTACTCTGTTAGACAGTACGGTGAATGTTGATTGGCTACAAAATACCCGTACTAGGCTAATTTGCTGAAATTTGTCGAGGGTTACATTCAGGTTAATCTTGGATGTTCGATTATAATTATCGCTTGTCTTAAACTCCACGCATGACAGCAATCCACAGCTACCCTTGTAAACCTAAGAAAATTCTCTCGAACAGTGGATCGGTGATTAAGGTAACTCCTGCTTATTCAGTTGCAAATTCATAAATCAAAACTAGAGTAGCAATAATCATATGTTTGCCCAATAAGTGACCTTTCATGAGGTAAGATAAGTCGCATTTATTGGAATGTTCCACATGCGTTTACTATAATATTAGCAGAAAAACAGTTGGCTCGAACAAAGACTGATAAGTATAATGTTCCCAGATTTAATAATCTTGGACCTAGCGCAATATGATTCGCCCAAGTGAATAAAACATTAGTAGCACGTACAAAGTTATTATAAGGGCCATAAGGTTTCTAGCAAATATCTACTGGGTTAATAAAGGAATCTTGGCCTGGATGAAAACCAATATCTCCCCAACCAGACAAATACTGCTGTGGGGCCTAGGCTGATCACAATATGTATATATACCTAGGCTGTATGGTAATCTGAAAAACAAGTGTCTAACGGCTTGAATGAGCGATCAAGTGGAAATTTTATATCTCCAAGACATTTAACCCGATGCTTAAAGATACTGGTTTGCAAAAACTACATACATACCATTCAGTTCACATAAAGGATCATTCGAGAGAAGAATTTCCAATAAATTAGATGCCTGTCGGTCTTCGCCGTTGATACAACCAGTCGAAAATATTGCCCATCGCATGGAAGAGAATACTGACTTAGAATGTATTTTGCTTTACGTAATCGTTCGAACGAGGCCAATGTGATATGATCAACGTAGTGTTGTTAACGTTAGCCCTTCGCCAAATTAATTTCATACTGATCCACTAACAATAGGCGGGATAATATTGGAGGTTCATGCCACAATCCTAAGTAACTCGGCGGAATACTAGCAGCACCACAGGCGAAAAAAACACGGCTTTCCTTCGAATCGTTTGACGAACTAACACCCGACAACGATGGAAATGCCGTTGAAGAAAATGCTAGATAGTTATTTCGTATAGTAATCGCGCCTGTCTCGTTTTACCCATGAGTAAAAGATTAGTTTGAGTAGAAGGATTGTAACAAGCCCCAATAAGGCGAAACGGCCGTCTGGTGCTTTTCCGGATAGGTAGTTGACATATCTGAATTGTCGGCTGAATGCGACGAACAAAAATGAGTACAAGATACAAACTTCGCTGCGTTTCTATAAGGCATTACATCATAACAATACCCATAAGCAGACTACATATATTCTTAGGGGTCATCTGTTCACTTGAGTGAGAGCAATCTCTGTTAGCTTGTCCGGAAGTGTTGAATGTTATGAAAGCGAGATGCGTAACGCAATAAGCTACATGTTAACCATTTGACTGTTGCGTAAAGTTCCTTTATCAAAAACATATTTATGAAAGACGACGAGGTCGGACTGGAGTCGGTCAAGGAATTAGCACTCAACTGGCTGCCCACATCGAACTTAACGGATTAATATGTAGTATTGCTAGGCCCTTATGACACGTTTGTTCGAATAGATTAGCAGAATATATTAGCAGGAATAGACTAGCAATCCCGAACACTAAGACAGTTCTAAGATTACTTCGCACTCACCAGGTAGAAATAACCTTCAACTATAGCTAGAGAACGTGGGATGTTAGCTGAAGCATCCATTCATAAGCTACTGGCTCGCGAGGATCAAGGCTTATCATTGTATTGGTTATGTTGAAGCATGCTAAGTCTTGCTCGCAGCGAAGCCGTTGTTTAGGGTAAATGCTTATGCGGACATCTACCCTACTCTTGCAACCGTCGCAGTTCTGCAAATCTCTCCCTAATACGTCCACATTAATATGATACAGAACATAACATGTAGCCTTTGTGAACGGGGAGCACAACAGCAATTATCTGCACCATCACGTACGTTCCCAGTGGCCGAATTAAAGAAGTTCTAATTTTTCATGTCTTTCAATTGATGTTGTATATGTACTCCATAGTATTCTATCGATGATATGCTATCGAACAAAGAACCTGAATTTGACCCAACTGTATGGCTTAAGTGGCGCAGATCTTCAGTTTCGGCCTATGATAAGTATCGCTTGATTGGCTGAGAGAATTGATGTGCTTATTGTGCATAACAAGTTAAACCGGGTTTCGTTAAGTTCCATATTTATGTGAATACTTCCAATAACTACCTTGTAATCGTGTACTTATTTTACTTGTGTTGCGTATTGGAACGACGTAAACAGATAGTTATGCTTGTGAAAATTATTTCCCCTACAATTGCAATGCAGCAGTACATAAATGCAAAATTATTCAAAAAGGATTCATTTGCATTAGCATCACTTACCGGGCAAGTAGGGTTGAATTGTTCTGGAAACTGGCGGATATTTAGCTGCTACAAGGGGCTTCGACGGTGTAAATCTGTTGTTAGTTTGATCCGCCTTTTCTGAATTTTCCTTTACACACTCTCTTTCGACTTGACGGTCATTATTCGTGTCATCCATAATAGTGCCAGCGCAACAAGCCAGTTTGCTCCAATGTTCCCGCACCCGTAATCCTTTCGTCGTTGACTGAGTGGTAGCTGCATATGACCTTGCTAAGATGCTATTGGTTTTCTTTCGATGCCGGGAAATCCCAAACAGTACGGCGCATACGGCGATTAACAACAAAAATGCGCCACCAACCAAGGGAATCAACAATCGTTCGGGGATGCTCGGTCTGGAACTGAATATGAGTTTTGAAATGTATGGACCCCCAAGCATAGCATTCGCTAGATGAGTTGAGTGCATATCTTTAGCACTCTGCCCATTCCAGATTACTCGTACAACGCGAGTAGAGTTTAATCTTTTGGGCGTCCCCAGGTCATATGCAACTACAATAAGGCTTAGGCTAACGAAACGCATTTCGGCAGGAGGCTGGAATGCATCGGCTCTCTCTTCCTTTGTGCTTGACATTTGGCTCATTGTGTTCACCTGTTCTGTGAATGGAATTTTGCCATTTGCTAAAAGTTTCATTATAGTGGATGGCAAGATTGCCTCTCGAATGTAGCACACTCCGGTGGTCGGATCTATTTCAAACAAACCATATCCAGATCCATCCAGTGCATAGTTGACTGTTGCGTTTTCGCCACTATCAGCATCGTGAGCCTTGGCAGTAAAAAGCGTAGTTCCTGGGGTCATTAGTGGACTGTTGAGCTCAATGTGAAACTCCTGTCCGGCTAGGGGAGCTTCAAACTGCGGCGAGTTATCGTTCACATCTAAAACCGTTATAATAATCGTAGCCGTGGCAGTGTATTGGATACTACGCATCTTCTCCCAATGTTGGCCAGCTAATATACGTTTAAATTTCGAAAGTCGTTCAGCTAATGGATTGTCTATGGCGAAGGCTCTGATCTCATAATGCGCTCTGGTCTCTCGATCCAGTTTACGGCTCAAGCGCAATTCTCCGGTACGCCGACTTATTGAATACACAGTTGCATCCTCTATTGTTTCCAACTGATAAGTGATCTTTGCTTCATCCTTAACTGGCATTTCTTTTTCCTCTGAGTTCACTGATGTCTGCAATAATCCGTTGTGCGAAGTGCCATCCGGATCGATAGCTTTTATTGACCCAATCACTTGTCCGATCTCAGTGTCTTCTGAAACAGAAAAGTAAAATACACTGTCTTCCGATCTGCCTGTGTGATAGTCAGCGAATCCTTCCGCAGAGCTGGCAACCCAGTAAGGCGGATGATCGTTAATATCCATGATATCCACTACCACCGTACATGTGCTCGATAAAGATGGATTGCCCTGGTCACGAGCTTCAACACTTAATTCCACGCGTTCGTCAGCCTCACGGTCAAGCGGACCTGTCCTTGAAATGATTCCTTTGGAGGAGTCAATTTGGAATGCGCTGTATGGGTTTGTTAACAAGTTATAGAGGATAACTTGATTCTCTCCGGAATCGGCATCTGTAGCATGAACTTGACCGATTACTGTCCAAGAGTCTTCTAAGGAAGAGCTGGAATAGAAAGACATTGGGTTACCGGGAGTCTCGATTACACTGAAATGATAAACGTCCTTGGAGAATTTCGGTGCATTATCGTTGATATCCATTATCTTCAATGGAAAAGACAGGTTCCCGGTTAGTGAATTTAATGCGACAGGATATTTCCCTTGAGGAAACGCATAACGAACATAGTCTTTCTCCACCTGGTCAACACATGTCACTTGCACAAAAATCCATTCAGAAGCTTCTCTATCAAATTCCTGCAAGACTGTCATTCGGTATAGATATGAGAGGGTGCTTGGTCTAACTGTATCTGAGCCTTCGGTATGACCAAGCAGGGACATAGAGGGTAGTTGGTCCAAAGAAAAACGAGTGTCATTTGTTTCACAGTAAATGTCATCCCAGTTGGTAATGCTGCTTTGTGGCATAGAAGCTAAAATCACAATATCCTTATCTGTCACCGTAAGATGAGCAATGGTGCTGGGTCCCATGAAGTTTTCTTGGACGCTACCAAAAACACTTTTATTACCGATGCCAAATACATCGCTTGGAGTAAAATAAAGAGGATTTGTGAACTGTATGGCGATTTCCGGTTTATTATCGTTCACGTTTTCAACTAGGATCAACAGAGTGACGGTACTAGATAGTGAAGGTGACCCGGAATCCATTGCTTCGACTTTGACCTGTACCAAATATCCGAAAACTTCACCGTTATTATCCATCCATAGTTTACTTTGTGGAATGTCGGCATCTAGTGGTTCCGCAATCTGCAGAGTCGTACTGTCGTTTTTCCTGTGCAGGCAAAACCATTGAGAACCAATGGGGTCAACCTCGTTGCCTCTGAATCCCAGAAGTCTATATTCCAGCGCCGCATTCTGACCTTCATCTTTGTCATCTGCCACCAATGTCACCACTTCGCTTCCTACCGGAAGTGTCTCAGGTATCCGAATGACTTCTCGATTTGTAGATCGACCATTTAACTCCACGAGCATCTGTGAGGTGAGCTGATGAAAAGTGGGTTTACGAAATATCGGTTTGTTGTCATTTACATCTGTCACAGATAGTCGCAATGTCAACGTTCCTGTAAGCTGTGGTGTTCCGTTGTCAATTGCAAGCAACTGAAACCAATGTTCTTGCTTTTTCTCGCGGTCTAGATGCTCCGTAATTCTGAGCATTGGTGCGAAGGGGATGTGTGCGTGCTGTATATGCTGATTAGTCCTCGT